CACACACACACGAAGATTTTTTTGTAATATTTATATATATGATAAAAATTAGCTTCTGGTCATTAGTAAACTATTGAACAGTGAGGGGTAAAAGGCAAACTGTATTTTAATGTTTCAGTCTGATTTAGTATTTAGATGACAGCTATAACATGGAGCATTAAAGACCTCTGTGACTCATTTATTTATGGATTTAAGTAAAAAGAGTTTCTTTTGATTAAGCTCTGACATCAGCGCTTATTGTTCTTCTTGTTTAGTGTGGCTAACTCTTAAACCAAMTGCCTCCCACAACTTTATGGAGTCATGTCTGTTGATATTAAATAATAAATTTGAGTCATTATGAAGAAGTACAGAGCTTTAATGGGAGGAAACCCACRATGTGATCAAACACCCTTATTTCTGGGAACAAATGGTCCAGAAAGGTTTGACGTAATAAATAAGTAATAAAAAAATAAGTAATAAAAATAACCAACAGTTTTGCTTCTGATTAGTTGGTTCAAAAGTATCACGTTTTATAGTTTTCTGTTTGTAGAAAAAATGTAATCTGTCTGAAACATTCTTACAATTCAGAGCTTTTAAATGTGCAATTACTTTTAAAAGCAAATCCTTTTTCTAGCTCTGCATCGTAACAAGGTTATTCGGATTTTCTGCATGCTTGAACAAACACTTGATTGATAATAAAATGAAATAATTCTACATAAATTTGTAAAAAAAACCTTCAGTTTAAAAAAAAGAAGTGCCAATGGTTTCTTCTGCTTTAAAGTTTAATATTCCACGGCAGCAGGGAGAAAGTAAGTTCATCAAACTGGTGATAGATCAGGGTGAAAATGTGTCTGCACCTTTTCTCACCTAACTTAATTTATTAAAATTTTTTTTAAATAAATGCTTCCACTGTAAGAATAAAAGTTAACAGTGGCAGTAAATCTGGAGCAACTCTCAGCTCATTCAAACGTCTTCATTCATTTTAGTCGTCAATGCAAAGTGTGCATCGCACTAACTCATACTGGAGTAGTTAAAAATACAATTTTTTAACATGATGGGGTTTTTGCTGGCAAAAAAAGGTGTCACTTTTATTTATTCAGTTTGCAGCTTCAGTGTGAAAACACGCAAACCGCATGAGGTTCCTTCCTCATACTAAGACCTGCTGACTTCAACACGCCTGTCAGCCCGTTAGTCACTTCAGTCAAACCGTTTGCAGGCAGTGACTCAGCTGTTTGACGTTCTGAACTCACACACACACACACACACACACACACACACACACACACACACACACACACACACAGAGTCCAAACATTTTGCATCGTGTTTGTCAGACTCTGCAACATGTTCCAGCCCTCAACGAAGGGGGCTGTTTAATTGGGGTTACAACAGCAATCAGTGTTGTTGTTAAAAAATAATAATCGTTCTGACAGCCGTAAATTTGGATCATGTCTCAACAGCTATTAGATTTACTACCAATGAAATTTTTTTTGCTCCRACGTTCATTCTTTCCAGATGACATATCCTGCTGATTGTGATGACCTTCTGACTTTTAATCCAGCGGACTGATGGCAGCGCACAGTGGACCCATTAAAATGACTTATGATAACTTTGATGATGCCTTTATAAGCTGTCATCGTTTCAAAATTGGTTCCTGACCACATCAGAGAAAACCAATTTCAATCCCATCAACCCYGGCTATGCTTTGCATTCGGGATAGGAGAAATATCTCCGTGCTAACACGCTAAACAAAGACTGTAAATAAGGGGAACATCAGAGCTGTATAACATTAGGTTATTAGAACATAGCTTTGAGTTTTATGAGTTTATGTGCGGAAAGAGAGCAAAATGCAAGGATGATTATGTAAACCAGATGTTGTAAAAATAATAAACTTAACTAAGGTCAGCATATCGCCCATCTTACGTAGAGAAATAATCCTTCTTGTGATCAAATCACATCTCATGAGATGTGTTATAAATGAACCAAATTTTAATACAATGTGTGTCAAATCCACTGAGGTATTGACATTTTTGGGATCAGTTGGGGCGGCCATCTTGATTTGGGTCGACTCCAAAAATTAATCAGTTGTTTACTTAATGATTATTTTATTTTTACAAGTTTTGATCAAAGTTTTTCAGTAATAACAATAACTTTATTTATAAAGCGCTTTCAGACAAAGTGCTGAACAGTTGCAAAAAGATGAAATCAACATAAAAAGCTGTAAGAACAAGTAAAACGTTGAAAAACTATAAAATACGAATGTAAAATTTAAGACGTATAAGACAAAGCATACATGTGGGTTTTCAGCTTAGCTTTAAAAAGTTAGTAGTTCGTGATATATTTTGCTAACACACACAAACAAGGGCAGAAACTTTATCATCTGCCTCTGAAGAGCAAAGTAACCCCCCCAGGYAAACTGACAAAAGTAAGGAGCATTTATACACAGAAAATGCTTATGATAAACAACAGTTTGGTGTAGTAAGTAAAAAAAAAAGAAATTCTTAGAGGTGCAACGATACAGAAAATTCACGATTCGGTTCGGTTCAATACTTTAATCTCATGGTTCGATATTTTTTCGATACAAAAAAGAGAAATGTCCACGCCCTTTTTAACTGGTAATTTATTTAAATTAATTATGAACATTTGTTTAACCTCAAAGTACAGTTTTTAAATTAAATGTTGCTGAAACAGCAAGTTTCTCAGTGGATCTGTGCTCAAAATGCAGCCTAGGTGCAGTAGTCGAACACAGATCCACTGATCCTTCAACACAGAGCATCTTCAGAAGACATGTTGATAAAGTAAATTTAAAAACTCTATTATTCGATACAAGTGTGTATTGAACGGTTCGACAYGGGTACATGTATTGTTGCACCCCTAGAAATTATGTTTTGTGTCCATAAATCCCAAACAGCAGCAGACTCTCAAGGTGTTTCTGAATAAAAACATCTTACAAGGACAAACAAGACCACTAATCATTTACAGGCAAGMTTTTCCCTTGAGAACAGAAACTAAATTCTGAAAATACACTTTATCATTTATGTTTTGTTACTCTGTTTATTTTCATTATGTTCTTTTGATAAATGTAGGCAACGGTTAAGTGGGATCTTACCAGGCATGTGCACCATCCTGCAGCTGCACACCCGCATCACTTCGTTGGTCTCGCAGAGAAGGCGACAGGCGCTGATGCTGTACGTGTCGTACCCCGGGAACTTCTCCCTGCTGGTGGAGCGGCAGTTCCCCCAGGGCTGGGGCAGGTATGTCAGCTGGGTACACAGAGATTTATTAGACGGCAGTTTGAGTCACCTSGGGGGGCCAACAGTAGCAGGGTGAACAGTGGTGGGGGTCAAAGGGGCGGGCAGAGATGGCGAGCGGGGATTAAAAAAAACACCTACCCTTTGCTCCTGACAGGAAACAAAGGTCTGGAAGCCGGGGGAGACACCGAAGCCCAGCTGGTGGATGTACGGCGGCTCGTCCTGACTGTGGATCTGAACTCGGATGCCGGCCTCCAGAGATGTCTCATCTTCTCGCCAGGATGAAACAGAGCACAGGCACGTAGCGGTGCGAAGTGAGTGGGAATTACAGACGTCTGCATCATCTAACAGCTTGAACTCAGTTTGAGGCAAACTGCAAACCATATTTCAGACATATTTCATAAAGTCAACCAGGGATTGATTTTATGAGGCACCRACTGTGCACGCACAGATCTGAGGGAGTGGAATTTATTTATGTTTGTTGTAAAAGTCACTATTTTCAGGTGCAGTGACGCAATCACAGTTTTTTTAAACAAAAAAATTAATCATCCCTGTTGGTAATCTTTTTTTGTTTTGTTGCTTTAAAACCCAAATTTAATTGGATTTTTATTTGAAAAACAACAAATCTCCAAAAAAAAAAAAAAAAAAAAAAAACTAGATTAATGAATTAAGTGGGAAAAAATCTGCAGAGTTCCGACCATTACCTTCAAAATCCACATAAGTTATTGAATAAGATCCAACTGTCAGCAATATGAGTATCAAATTATCTAAACCTGTCAAATGTCACCCGATAGGCCCCAGAATCAATCCTGAGTAGTACGAWGACCAAGGAGGTACAGGCCAAAGACAGTTGTGAAGAATTCCTCTCTGCTGGAAGGCAACRTGTTTTTGTAAAACCTAAATAAGCTTTTCTGCATCTATAGTGCTTTTCGAAATGTGTAAGCTGCCATGCTAGAGGCACTAATGCATACCCATACCATCAGAGAGGCATACTTTTGAACAACAAGCTGGTTCTCCTCTTTAGGACAACATCTGWGGTTTCCAAAAAAATAATTTCAAATCTATTTTTTTCACTTTGCTCAGTTGGTTTTAAATGAGCTTTAAATTGSAGCCTTTCTGGGTTGTGTTCAAATATGGCTTCTTTGCCTGATAGAGCTTTAGTCAGGCAAACTTCAAACCTCTGAAAACCATTTTTACCTCTGAGAGATTTAGCATCTCTAAAATGCTCTTTTTATGCCGTTTGCTTACTGATCCGTTGCCAATTGATGTGATTTGTTGCAACATTCTCCTTCTTATTTTTATTTACTTTTACAGCCTTTTGTTGCCTCTGTCTTTGCTGAAACGTGTTGCTAGCATAAAATAAAAAAAATGAACTCATTTTGACCCCCAAAAAACGGCATCGTGTTTTTAGTTCCAGCATTTGTTCCATTATGAGAAAAAAGTATGGGTTTAACAGATTACATTAAACAAATGGTTTTAGGGCTTACTTGTCTCTCTCCAGATGGGCAGATACTCATCCTGCTGGATATCCAACATGATCTCCAGCCCGTTCCCCATTCCGCCCTGCTTGGTTTTCCTGGATGCAGTCTTGTTGCCATTAAATGTGTAGCATTTCCCGTATCTGGTGTAAACCTGTGAAGGAACAGATTCCTATCATCACCATGAAGACGACAGAGTCCACACACTGGATGTGACAAGCGGTGCATTGAAATGACTGCAGAGATACGGAGCAAATAAATAAATAAATAAATTGCCTGCATGAGTTGCTGGATATTACCCACAAACCTCTGGGTGTAGTCTGCAGGCTCAGTCCCTCGCGGACTGAGATAAGCTGTATTTGAATCAATTTCCACCACTGGCTATACAAACTCTGCACAGAGGGCCTCAATAAGTGCCGGCGTCCCGTATCGTCAAAAGACACAAGACATTTTTTAATCTTTCTTATGAAAGATAATAACAAAGAGGCTGCTTTAAATAAGCTATCACAGCTCCACCTATCAGGGGAGCTGTCTCAGAGGGGACACATCATCTCTTTGTTTAYGCCTCTCGTCTGAACTGCGGCACTGCAGAAAGTATCCGGCTTACAAGCCATTTCACTTTTATCTCCTCGGAGTTTTAAAGGCGCACACCGTGAGCCACATGCAAACCAAAAGYTGCAGAATCAAAAATAAAAGCCTGGGAAGAGGCGAGCGCCACCAAACACGAGGACGAGATCTCGATTTGATCTGTGCTTGCGTGTGTGTGTTCCCATCCTGGGTAAACTTTGATTCCAACAGTAGTTTGTTTTGAACCGTTATTCAGTCGAGYACTTGCACGATCCCTCCACTGAACTGTGAAGGTGCAATCAGAACAAAGAAACCATAACCAGGTATGGCAGGTRTTCAGGTTTGGACTTCTCTTTGCACTGATGCAGCAAGCTTCAGGCCTTTTTAAATACAAAAACACCAACAGAAGTGACAGAGAAATCAAGTAAAATTTTGTATTTGCAGAGCTTACCGAAGCAACTGAAGCCAAGCCTTGAGTGGCGTTTCTGCAATTTAAAGGGGCAATATCATGTAAAATCAACTTTTTTGAGTTTTATATCATGTTATAATGTTATACTCTCATAAAAAACATACCCAAAGCCTTGCTTTGACTCATTAATGCATGTTTGAGAAATCCTGCAGCATTTTTAGGCAGCCATGCTGAGGAGCAAAACTCCTGCAGGCYCWMGGCAGTAACAAAGCAAAGTGAAAGTGAAACTTAACTGTCTGCTGCCCTCACTCAGTGAAGCTCTTTTCAGATTCAAAATACCTTTGAGGAAATGTATTGAATGGGACCAGACAGAAGCAGAAAGGAGGTTCTTAAAGAGACAGAGGCCAATTTCAAGGCGTTTAGAAGAGGAAGTGATGAGAAGAWAMGTTTATTTTCTATTTAAACATAAAAACAGCATTTTAATAACAACTAAAGGTGACACAGATACTTTATTATGGTATAGTATTTAAACGTATGCCTGACAAACACATAATATTGTCCCTTTAAGTATTTTAACACCAACCTTATTATTCATTTTATCCAAGCAACACATAAAAGAGGCTCATCAACAGAAGTCCAGAGCTGAGAAAATTTCATGACGAAAGAGGTGAAGGCACCAGAGAAATGACAGCAACACACAAAAAAGAAAAAAAAAAAACAATATGAACAAACCGCCGAGGAATCATTAAACGGACACCAACAGCACAGACGCTCGCAAAAAAAAAAAAGGCATAGATGTCTTCGCTCCGACTTTGATATCAGCCTGATCCACCTAACGAGCGCCATGATGTCTAAATTAGGGACACAGGCGAAACAACACAAGCTCTCATTTACAGACCACAGGGTGTATCCGCATGTGAGACGGCTGAACAACAAATCAAAGTCACCATTATTGGTTTCAGTCAAGTAATTCTACGGAACGGTGGGCAATTCTGCGACGTCCACAACAGTGATTAGAGCAAGAAATGAGCATGGTTTTGAAAAGCTGCTGTTCGGACAGCCAGCTGTATTTCATGCCGTAATAGACCTCCGGGGCCTTTGATCTCGCTGTTTCAACATGCTAGTTTGTGTTCGGCRCGTACGTCGACCGGAGCGCAAATGGTTGCTCTCAAATCGAGTCTTGTTTGGGGATTCAGAGAAACGGTTGATAATTACAGATCACAGCTCAGGCTCTGATGTGGTCCAAGCGCGTTTTCAGCTCCTTTTCTGACAGCCACTTTGCATTTTTCTAAATTGCAACATCTTTTCGGGGGAAGTGATTAGAAAACGGGAGGTGGCGATGGAGAGAGAAAGAGAGGGTGGGAGAGAGAGAGAGCGTTCAAGTACCCATGTGTGACTTTTGACTGACATGTGCTATTAGGTTGAAATGGTTTAATCTCTATTTGGCTGGAGCTGAGGAGGTAAGCTGCACTTTATCATTGATTCCCCGCCTCCACCCGGGTTCATTGACACACTTAAGCCTCGACTGGCAGTCTTTATCTGATGGAGCAAGCATCTGAGGCAAAGGAGGATTTTTACTTCAGAAACTCTCTCAACACCCTAACCAGGCGTCATGGGTTCCGCTCTGAAACTTCTGGCTCTGAAGGACATCGCTTCATTCCCAAATGATCTCCCCAGAGAGGAAAGGGGGTGGGGGGTGGGTTTCCCATCACCTCACCCAGGAAACGGCTGTTGGCAGAGTTTCCAATGGTTTATTTCTCTGATACTGAGCCCCCCCTCAGGTTCCTCCCCCATCTCTCTCGCTCCATGCATCCTCGGCGTGATTGATGGAGCGTTTTTCTCCTTTTACGGCTACCAAATTTAGCGAAAGTATTAGCACCGACCCCAAGTKGGGACTTGGCGCTGTCGACACGCTTGAAGCAAAGCAGGAAGTTACTGAGTGAGAGAAAAGCTCTATTGTGTTCTTTTGAGTGAAACAGGAGCTATTTCAGGTCCTACTTATGTTCTTTGCATTTCAAGACCTTAAATAGCTCTGAAAAGTTGATTTAAACATGGTATCTATTTCTCTATCAGGCTGATAAACGTCTTAGCTCATACTTACTTCCCAATAACAATGATAGTGTTTTAATCTGCCTTGTTTTATAATTACTGTATTTATCTAATGTGACTCAGCTTCTAAAAATACCCAATAATCACTGGTTTGTGTGTTTGTTTGTGTGTCTATCAGCAAAATATCTCAAAAACCAGTAGATACAGTGGATTTGAATGAAACAAGCTGAACTAGGCGAATACAAAAATAGCTAATGAGGTAGATTTGCTGTGTAAGATTTTTTATTCCTGTTTAAAGTTGAGCAAAATGTACTAAAACTTTGTCATTCTGCAAAAACATGCATCTCGTTTTAAGTTTTTACAATTCAGACCAAACCGCACAAGTTTCAATTGTAAAAAAGTATTTAACAGAATTTAATTTGACTCATCCTATAAGCAGAAAGGCAACAAAACAAAGCTTTGCTCTGCAGCAGCAACATGTTTTGGCCGCTTGCCTAAATTCACATGATTTGCATTTTAACATATCTCACCAATTATAATGCAAATGTCTTCATTCCAAAGTGCTTTGTTTTATTTTCTGCCCCTCCATGCTAAATGCACAGGCAGAACAAGCCATCGCCGTGTAATTCAAAAGCCCCGGCGGGCTAAAACCCTTTAAACACCCTCTTTATGGCCGTGAAGTGAGAGTCCTAACTTTTCCCTTTTAAAGAATCTGCAGGGATCACTTCAGCGCTTCACTGGAGGACATCCATTTCCAGGCATGCCACATGTCATCGGGGTGGAAAACGGAGGATTTGAATTCATTTACGCAGGGTGGTGGTAAGTGCAAAAGCACTGATTGACAGATAAAAGCCATTAAGGCTGGCTCATGGAGGTTTAAGGTTGACACAGAGCGTTTCTTGATTTAATGGCTTTATTACAACTTCCTGCACCGAGACTAGAATCACAATGTGACAAACTGAATATTTACAGGATATTTTTCCATGTTTTTTTTTCCAGGATCGATGTGCAACTATGCTGCCTGTCAAACTGCTGCAAAACCTTTCCTCTCATCCAATTATTTGGTTAATTATTTGCTTTCAAGACAAGACTTGGGCATAGAATATGGCAATTCTGATGTCATTTATTTGATTTTATTGATGTCATGATCTTAAAAGTTCTCTGTGTGAAATTATCTGTGTACAAGCCTCATGCAATAACACAATTATCTAAGGATGCAGAATCACAACCAAAAGAGCATCAAACAAACTAACATATTGATGGATAATTTTACGTTAGGGGATCTATTCAAAATTGAAGGCATACTGAACTAGCATGGCTACCACAGCATCTTGCAGCGGCATGCTATTCCATCTGGTTTGCGTTTAGTTGGACCTTTATTTATTTTTCAACAGAACAATGACCCCAAACACACCTCCAGGCTGTGTAAGGGCTATTTGACCAAGAAGGAGAGTGATGGGCTGCTGGGTCAGATGACCTGGCCCCCACAACAGTGTCACCGGCAATGCACCTCCACACCATCACACCTCCTCCTCCAGGCTTCACAGTGGGAACCAGGCATGTGGAGTCCATCCGTTCACCTTTTCTGCGTCGCACGAAGACACAGTGATTGGAACCAAAGATCTCAAATTTGGACTCATCAGACCAAAGCACAGATTTCCACTGGTCTAATGTCCATTCCTTGTGTTCTTTAGCCCAAACAAGTCTTTTCTGCTTGTTGCCTGTCCTTAGCAGTGGTTTCCTAGCAGCTATTTTTACCATGACGGCCTGATTCACACAGTCTCCTCTTAACAGTTGTTCTAGAGATGTGTCTGCTACTAGAACTCTGTGTGGCATTGAGCTGTTCTCTAATCTGAGCTGCTGTTAACCTGCCATTTCTGACGACCTGTTCTCTAATCTGAGCTGCTGTTAACCTGCCATTTCTGATGACCTGTTCTCTAATCTGAGCTGCTGTTAACCTGCCATTTCTGAGGCTGCTGACTTGGATGAACTTATCGTCCGCAGCAGAGGTGACTCTTGGTCTTCCTTTCCTGGGGCGGTCCTCATGTGAGCCAGTTTCTTTGTAGCGCTTGATGGTTTTTGCGACGGCACTTGGGGACATTTTCAAAGTTTTCCCAAATTTTTTTGAC